CCCAGGTCATTGTTCTTCCAAGTCTTTTCACACAAAATACAGTCAGCTATGGATCACAGCATGAAGTCTAGAAAATCATACAAAAGGATTATTCGACATCATCCCCCTATGATCCGGTTGCAGCTTTCGAAAGAAAGGGAACTATGACGAAGGGAATAAATCCAAGAAGGCGAAATCATTAGAACTACTTTTTGACACCAGTCCGGCCAGAACGCAGTGGTAATCTATAAATGACTAATTTCTTAAGTTCATATGCAATGGACAGAGATACTGTCTTTTAAGTGATATTTTGATTAGATTTGACTACCTGGCGCAAACTACTTAGTTAGCGCACTACGACAAATTCATTTACAAGAAATTATGACAGGAGAAGTGCTCGCCAAAATCAAAGCAAATTCCAAATTTTAGGTCATAGATTTTATCAGCTTGGTGCAAACAAAACAATAATTGGGAGAAAAGACCAAACACATATCCAAAAAAAAGTAAGCAAATTCAACACCTTTCTCTACAGCACAGCTCAAAAACAATATTTGAAGAAAACCCATAAGTTCTCTTTTCTTGAGAGTTTGATTTAGAGAGAAACTGAAACTAGGGCAAGAAGAGAATGCGGAGAGACGGCGAGGGGCTTTCTAGTAATTTTGAGGAGGAACGAGGGTAGAAGTGGGAAGAGGAGAGTTACCTGAGCTGGCGATCGTATTTGGTCTTGGACTCGGCAGCCATCTTCGAGAAGCAAAAGAGAAAGGCTTGGGGTTTTGCGTTGAGAAAAAGTGCGGAAAGAGGAAAAAGGGACTAAGATGGGGTTTTGAAGAAGGACGATGAGGGTATTTTTGTCATTTACAGAGACTAGAAGAGATTGGGGTCCCGTTATTAGATGGGCCAAAAGTCCTGGCGTGGCCTAATAAATCTATTTAGAACCCTTTTGAAACCTAAATCCTTTACAAACTATCTGCGAAGCAATACAGCTGAGTCCATCTTTTCGGGACACACTTTCTTAAAAATTAAAATTAAAATATATATATATATATATACGCAGGCTGATTTACAAAATTGCTAATTTTAGTATGACGCAACTTCCCGTATGGTATTTTTATTTTCTCTTGCAACCTAAAGGTATTAATATTGAATTTATGTTTGCAATAAAGCATGAATACTCATAGCCAACGAAGAATCTGGTGCGAAGTTGTGATCTTTTATGGACCCCTTTAAATGTTCATGTAGGCAGTGCTTTTTTTTTTTTGAGAAAAAGTAGGCAGTGACTTAATGATAATACAAGGATAAATTATGTTTAATAATCTAAATTTTGTATGTTTTTAAAAAAAATTAAGCTTGAACAAAACATAAATATTGAATAAGATTTCACAAGAAGATAATGCTATGGTAAGATGGCTCTTTGGTGATAGATTCTTCGTTGGCAGCAAACATTCATATCTTATTACAAGCAAAACAATAATCTACGAGCATAGATATGTCCATTATACTTGTAGAAGACATAAATTAGCAAGGTAAAATAAAACAATTTATTAACTGAAGAGCCTAGTAAGCTAATTAGATGTACAAGGGTAGTCCTGTCCAAAAAGCCCGTCAGCCCGGGGCCGACTCGGAACCCGGCCCGGTCCGGGGTCGGCCCGAAACCCAAGCCAAAAAACTCATCTACTTCTCTCTAATATTCTCTTATACAATCTTATATTCTCTTATAATCTCTTATACTTTCTAATCCTTTCATCAAATGGCTTCTAGATTTGATTATGAAAAGCAAAATCTATCTCCTACCGATATTGAAATAAGTCATCCTACAACAACAGCTACTCCTCCTACCGATCCTACAGTGGTAATCCCGAATCCGGTGGCGACAAATCTGCACCAAGAGCTCCTAAAAGGCTGAGATCCGATGTGTGGAATTTTTTTGAGAAGATAGACGTCACCAAGGATGAACACGGTAGGATCCTCACCCAGAAAGCTAAATGTACGTTGTGCAGGCAAACTTTCCAAGTTCATCATAAGAGCGTCACCAACCACCTCAAACGCCATATAGAAAAACACAACAAAGGCCAGACTCCTTAAGGTGATATCCGACAATCTATGATTTCTCAATCCTCCTCTTCCGGTAGTCTCAGTACTTGGAATTATGACGTTGTACGAGCCAGGAAATGCGTCATTAGGTTTATCATTCTTAAAAACCTTCCTTTTAAATTAGTAGAAGATGATGAATTTGAAGATTTGTTTAGAGATGATTTTTATCTCAATTTTTAAAAAAAAATTCTCGTCAAACCTGTCAACGTGATATTTTAAAACATTATCAAACGGAACAAGGAAAAATAATTTCTTATTTTAAAATTTTAAACTATAAAAAAAATTTAACTTATGATATTTGGACATCTAAAGCACAAACAGGTTATTTATGTATCACAGCACACTGAATTGATAAAAATTGGTAAATGTTTAAAAGAGTCGTTTCTTTTATTGCAATTGAAGAGTCACATACTGGTATTAGTGTAGCCAATTTAATAGTTGAAGAACTTATGAAACTAGAAATTGATCAAAGAATATTTTCTCTTTCACTAGATAATGCAAGTAATAACAATGTAGCTGTAGATTTTCTCAAAATAACTTCTCTTTCACTAGATAATGCAAGTAATAACAATGTAGCTGTAGATTTTCTCAAAATAACTCTGTCATTGCTCTGTCATGGTGAACTTTTTCATATTAGATGTATATGTCATATTTTAAATTTAATTGTTCAAAGTGTATTTACTGAAATTAAACTCATGATAGAAAAAGTTAGAACTGTTGCTTATATGCATGCTGCTTCTAAACAAAGACTTAAAAGATGGAAACAAATATGTAAAAGAAAAAAAATATTAAGGGTAGACTAATTCCAAAAGATGTTGACCATAGGTGGAATTCCACCTATGCAATGTTAAGTATAGCTATAGAATATAAACAAATTATAAATGATTTTATAAATTATTTTGCTTCTAGTTCTAGCTCTGGTAGCTCTTATTCAATAACTGAAGATGAATGGACAATTATATGTAATTTAAATAAGATGTTACAAGTTTTTTATGATGCTATTATGTTATTATCTAGTTGTTATTATCCAACTATTACTTTAGCTGCTTTACAAATTTTAAATATTCAAAAAAATTAACAAATATCGTATGAATGATACTTTTGGAAGTATAATTTTTTAAATGGAGAGCAAATTTAATAAGTATTTTAGACATATTCCTTATATTTTTGATTTGGGGTTCTTATTGATCCATGTTTGAAGGATATTGACCTTCGAAGTTTGTTACAATCATTGTATGGTGGACATGTTATAGACTTAGATGATGGATCCAACATTACTGCTACTTCTCATCATTTAGCTATTAGAAATTATTTTCAAACCTTATATGATGAGTACGTAGCTAGACATGGTGTAGCTGCACAACAATCTGCAGCTTCGACGCCTTCGAGCTCAAGCCGAGGTAAAAGTGTAAGTTTTGATAGGTATGCAATGGTAGTTGAACTAACTGGTGGATCTGGACTTGGATCATCGTTGGAGGTTTATGAAATAGATGAATATTTATCTGCTTCTTTAGTTAAATGTCAAGGAAATACTTTAGATATTTTACAATGGTGGAGAGTATATGGATCAGTTTCATATCCTATACTTTCCATCATGATTCGTGACTTACTAACAGTGCAGGTTTTGACGGTAGCTTCGGAATCCGTCTTCAGCACAGCAAGACGTTTGATCGACGATCACAAGACATGCTTAGATCCGTATACTGTACAAGCGGTGATGTGCTTACAAGATTGGTGGAGGTACGAGAAGCGAACGCAAGGCATCTCGGATGGTTAGAATTGAAGATAAATTTGAAAAGTTAGGACTAGCAGATAGATATAAAGATTAAACAATATCCATCAAATTGTAATTTTTATTTCTTAGCTTTAAATTTGTAATGAATTATTTTGGAAACAAATACAAATGATAGTGATATAGGTGAGTAGGTGCCAACCTAGTCGGGATGCACTCATCTATTGTGATGCGACAAATTCCAAAATAAATTTATACTTGTAAAAGATTTACTAATTATTAATAAAAAAGTTATTTTTATCATCTTTCATTTTTATAATTTTTTGTATTTGTAATTTATGTCATTTTAAGTTATTAATAATATGATCGTTTTTATTTTTGTTTTCTATAATTTTTTATGTATATTTTAAATTTTAAAGAGATTTTTAAAAACTTTTAAAAAAAACCAAAAAACCAAAAAAACCCGAGCCGGCCCGGATGGACAGGCCTATACAAGGGTGTTATAATAAAGCATTTGAATTATAAGTTCATAAATTGGTAGCTCCTTAGAGGAGAAAAGAAACATTAATGAAGAGGTAGAGATATTTAAGCCTCAAGTACAAATCCTCTCTTGTAGAGTGATGTTATATCCAATCCAAGATATCAAATGATCCAGTTAGTAACTTATGCTATGAATAACAGCATCGAGACAAATTGATGTAGATCACAAAATTTGGAAAAAACTGCACGAAGAACTCAACTTCTGATACACATGTGAATGGAAATATCAGCTGCATAATGATTAATAAATTGCAGAACAACCTGAACGAGCAGTAGCACATAAAGAAGTTTTTCGATATAGATACTAAAAGCCAGAAAAACTAATTAAATTAAACTCAGCTAAAGCAACTCAGAGCTTACAACACAACCTCTTACTTCCCTAAAATGAGATAAGACAGCAATTGCCATCACTTTCAATAGGCCAGTATTAAAGACAAAACAAATAGAATAAACATAACTGGTGAACTCTACGAAAGGAACTAATTTTTTCCATAAGATGAGACCACCCTTCCCTTCATCTAAACTCAAAAGTAAAATGGAAATCAAAAAGGAATTCTGATAAACAACTTGAAAGCAAATAACAACGAGATCATTCCGAAGTCCTGTTTGATAGAGTCATACAGGTCGACAACTTTCTTTAACTTGTTGGGGCTCAAGAATGAAGCCATTATAGTAAAAAATTATGTTAAGGCATCCAGGGATAAATTTTGGTAACTTATGCTGTCACTGCACAAATAACATTTGCCGGCACACATGAGCATTATTAGTAAACAAATCAGGTGTTTTAGACATAAGGAGGAATATCTACGACTTCAACTAAAACAGAGGTAGAAAGAAAGTTAAGAGAAATCACACCCGCAATAGACCTAAGCAAATAGTGACTTATTCCATAAGAAGAACTCACTAATCCACTATTTCGTTCACTTATTGACAGCAGTTGCATGAATTTCTAATACCAAACTTCATATCTCAAAAAAGAAGCAAGATCCCATTTAAACCATATTTCCAATGACCGAGCCTAATAAAGTAATCTAGGAAAGTAAACTAACTTCAACTCTTGGTTTAGTTCACTACAAGAAAATCATAGTAAGGCCAAGGAGCAACATAAGCATTTATTGCTAAAAATTGGTTAGACACTTAACAATTAATGAACAAAACAAACCTGTAATTGCAGCTAAACTTATTTCAAGATGAATTTTTGGTGAACTAGATAAAACTAGAATAGAGAACTAATCCAGACAAGCTCATAAATTTATAATCACTTAAACTCTTAGAGCATCTCCAACAGCTTCCCCAAAATTTTCTCTAAAATGGAGAAACGAAAGTCATATTCTCCAAATTATTTTTGCTCCAACTCCAACAGCTTCCCCATTTTGAAAAATCGCATTTATTACAATAATAAAGCTCTCCCCAAAAATTTGGAGAATGCTGCAGATTTGGAGAAGGCTCCCTATTTTTTCTCCTTCTTCCCTATTTTGGGGAA